TTGGGACCTGAACTTTTGGCCACAAAAATGCCTCTAAAAAAACCTGGAAAGGGCTAGAGAGCTGCAAAAGGAAGTAAAATGGGGGTACGAGTAGGACAAGTGCCCTGCAAACAAATGTGGATAGGGAAATCACTTTAAATAACATAATTAAAAATACAGCTGAGCCATAAAATAGCACTAGATGGAATCTTTGATTTTAGATTTGGAAGAACATAAATCTAAATCTAAAGCATGGCTGTCAGGAGGATCACCAGAATTATCCATTTGAGAGAGGGTTGGAGTGCAGGGTATTCTCTTTCATTGTTCAAACTGAGCTCAACTCCTGATGCATGGAGAAAAGGCCTTCACAAGCCTCTGCTCTTGTGTACATAGTTTATACTAAGTGACCCATAGGTTGAGGAGGCAGTGACCGTGGCGGTGTAGGTGGAAGCAGCGGTGGAGGAGGAGGATGAGGTAGCCAACACTGTTTTCATATATGTATATATATATATATATATATATATATATTTAATTGTGGTAGCCCCCAAAATATTGGGACATATAAAAAGACAACTCTGTTTCGCAGAGTAGCTGTTGACATTATAGTTGCGCAGGCACTTTGTTGACTGTAGAGAACCTCGGGCCAATCGCACATCCCCATAATGGCGACTTTGCATTCGGATGTCATCAATTTCAACTTTTGATGCCAGTTTCTGCGCCTATCATGGTGACCATGGGTAACGGGGAGTCAGGGTTCCATTCCGTACAGGGACCCTGAGAAATGGCTACCACATACAAGGAAGGCAGCAGGCATGCAAATGACCCACTTCCGACGCGGGAAGGTAGTGAAGACAAATAACAATACAGGATTCTTTAGAGGCCCTGTAATTGTAATAAGTCCACTTGAAATCCTTTAACTCTGATCAATTAGAGGGAAGTCTGGTGCAGAGCCACAGACCCGTGCGTGCTGCAGCTGAAACTTCACTATCGCCTGCTGCTGCTCGCACAGTCTCATGAGACAATGAGCGGGAAGGCTGAAGTTACGCTGCAGCGCAGACAGGCAAGCAGCAGCAGGGTGAGAATGCTGAAAGTGTGCACAGCCACTACAGTGAATGTCACATCCTGTTCCAAGTTGCGGATCAGTCTGGTGATGGCTTCTGGTATCCAGTACTCTTTTTACTAAAGCTGCATCAGGGTCCTGGTATGTGGCCGCACAAATGCTGGTGCTCAACACCAGGGGGCATGCGCTTACCCTGCACCAGACGCTGCTAATCCATTCCACACTGTGACTCCTAACTTCAACATCAGGCATACTGGGTCCCGGGCGTCCGACCACCGCCCAGACAGTGTCTGGGTCCTGGTCACCGGACTGCCCACCTGACTGTGAAACTATGAATGGATCGTTAAATCTGGTACGAACACGAACTTTGCAGTTCGGGTTCACTCAACTCTATTATGGATCCTTTGATCGCTACATGTATTACTCGGATAACTGGTAATTCTCTAATACATGCCGACGAGCGCTAGGGGACGGCCACTCCGCTTTTGCACCCTGCTCCCTCTTATGCTGTGCTGGTGCCTCTGTGCGACCAGCGCCTCTTCCTCCAAACTGCACACGTCACTCGTATGACCTTGATTTCATGTGGGGTCTAGGACCTCATCATCCTCCACATCATCTTCCACCCACTCCTCAACCCTGCCCTCCTTGCCAGTATGCACACTGCAGAAAGCCACAGCAGTTGGCACCTGTGTTTTTTCCAGCATGTAAAGTCTGCAAAGAACATATGGAAATGGTTTTAGAATTGTATCCAGGCAACAGTTTTCCCTATAAACTGACCTCTCAGTTTGACTTGTGAGGGTATTGCCCCAGAATTGCAATATTGTTTAAGTACCTCTTAGCTATTGATAACTGGTTTTAATATAGCAGCTTGTTATCTGGTAGTTTCTAGTGTGGAAAATATCAATCTGTTTTCTATCACTTAGATCTGTGTAACAAGTGTTGTAGGTGTGAAACAATATTACAAGTGATGATGTAGTAAATTCGAATCAAAGTTCCATTTGCAAACAGAATTCTCATCCATCTGTTGGTTATTTCATTTTTAAGATGTAGACTTATTGTATCACACTAGCCATGCACAGGTAGATTGTCTGGCACATTGTTTTGGTGTTTGGTTTTTAACTTTGTAGTTGTATCTTTACACAATATAGAAATGTATATTAATGCTTCTGTATATGAAGCGATCACAATAACACTTATTTTTCACAAAACAAAAATCAGGCTAAACAAAAATTGGTAATTAACAATCTGACATCTGAAAAGCACATGAAAGGATGCTGTATGATTTAAAAAAAAATTCACTAGAGTGTGTAGTCATGAATGTAACCAGTAAAACTTTGTTTTTTACAGCCACTGGTTGGCCCATACATAATGTACTATTTAGCAGATTGCACCCAGAAAATTAGAATTTTTGCAACTGCGCTATAAGCACACTATTAGATGCTTCGATTTGACTCTCAGATATGAAGTGCAATCCGCAAATGTACTATTTAGTAGATTAGCACCCAGAAAATAAGAATGTTTACCACTGCGCTGTAAGCGCACTATTAGACGCTTCTATTTGATTCTCAGATATGAAGTGCTCATCCCAAAATGTACTATTTAGCCGATTAGCACCCAGAAAATAAGAATGTTTACCCCTGCGCTGTAAGCGCACTATTAGACGCTTCTATTTGACTCTCAGATATGAAGTGCACACCCCAAATATACTATTTAGCACCAGAAAAAAATTTACTTTTTAAAACTCCAATGTAAGCAGCAGATTAGCAGCAAAACAATTAGAATTTTTACAACTGCGCTGTAAGCACACTATTAGACGCTTCGATTTGACTCTCAGATATGAAGAGCAGGCCCCGAAATGTACCATTTAGCAGATTAGCACCCAGAAAATTTGAATTTTTACAACTGTGCCGTAAGCACACTATTAGACGCTTCGATTTGACTCTCAGATATGAAGAGCAGGCCCCGAAATGTACTATTTACCAGATTAGCACCCAGAAAATAAGAATGTTTACCACTGCGCTGTAAGCACACTATTTGACACTTCTATTTGATTCTCAGATATGAAGTGCACCCCACTAATGTACTTTTTAGCACCCAAAAATGTTTACGTTTTAAAACTGCAAAGTGACAGCAGTATTTGACAATTCTATTTGACTCTCAGATATCTAGTGCACCCCACTAATGTACTATCCAACTAATGTACTATTTAGCACCAACAAAATTTTACTTTTTAAAACTCTGATGTAACCACGGTATTTGAAGCTTCTATTTGACTCTCAGATATGAAGTACACCCCACTAATGTACTATTTTGCAGAATTCTTATCTAAGCTGTCCCTATCAGCGGCAGCATCCTCTCCCTACACTAATAATACCTCATGTGCGTGCGGTGCTACGCGACTCCAGCTTATATATAGAGGCTGGGTCACATGCTGCACTGTACAGTCACAGCCATGCCATTAGTAGGCTTGGCTGTGATGGCTTCTAAGGGCACATAAGTCAAACGCTTGTTGATTGGCTGCCCTGCAGCCTTTAAAAATGCACCATTAAATCGCCGAACACTGAACTCCAACCCGAACATACAGTGATATGTCCGTGTTCGGGTCCGGGGACCAAAAACCGTAATGTTCGGTACGAACCTGAACTCTACTAGTGGTCTCTCTTGAGTCTTATACAATCTCAATAATCTGACCACTACATATACCTTTTACACAGCCATATATTGTATCATACTGTCTGATCAATTCCCTTTCAACTTTATTATTTTTTCTACTTCCCTTTTCCTTGGTATATTTTGGTTTATTTAGTTTTGTTATTTTTTTTTTTTGTATGTATTTTTTAGTATGTATCTAATAAATGTTACAATTTACTGACACTACTTATACTCACCTATAAGGACAGTTTATGTTCTTGCCTTGTTTCATTGAATTAATTAATAGGGTTACCCCTAGGGATGTGCATGGGCATAAAATTTGGTTCGGAAATTCGGGCTAGTAAAAAAATGTGTCTGCTTCAGTAATTCGGACAAATGGCATTCGGTTCGGTTCGGCACTTCGGAACTGCCGAATGGCATTCGGTTCTGACATTTAGCATTCAGGAACACGGCATTTGGGCATTCATTAGGGCATTTGGCAGTTCGCCATGTCATTCGTTTCAGACATTTGGCAGTTCAGAATGTTGTTTGTTTTGAAAAGTAAACATTTGTGTGTTTTTTTTCTTAAACAGCAATGTTTTACATTGCATCGTGGACCACAGCAGCCTAACCACTTAATCTTAAAGAAGTGGTCTGGGTTTAGTTAATAATTAGTAGTGTTAGTTTAGTATACATACAATTTACAAAATTATATTTTAACTGCACAGATAGTGCAGCCAATCAGGGAGCACTACCAGCATGCAACACTTCTGCACACTATATAATCCCACCCCTGTGACACCGTCTTTATGGAGAGTTTAGGAGCAGAGTGCGAGAGCACAGTGAAAGCAATTTGTGTGTGAACAAGCAAGTGAGTATGTGAGAAAGGGGAAAATATTAGAAAGACGTGGACAATCCATTATGGTTTCTTTCGTTTTTTTTTTTTTAAATTGTAGCAAAGTCATAGTGCAGCAGAGAGACACCCTGGCATTCAGACTATCTGGCTTGCATAGCCACACACTCTCTCAACACCCATGCTTCAATTAAAAAAAAAAAAAAATGCAGAAAAAAAAATGGCAAAACTCCCTCTCTCCCTCACTCTCCCTGGAACACACACTTAAAAGCAATGTGGCTCCCCAAGTTTGCAACAAATAAATTACAATAAATATAATGTAATTCATCTCTCTCAGTCTCTTGTGCTATCACAACTAATTTGGTCACATGAATGCAAGCCAACAACCTAACAGCCTGATTTATATACTATCCCACCTCAATGACTCTGGGTGCCTTCATTGGCCAACTGTCAGTGACAAAATCGCCATTAATTGGCTGCCCTCTAGCATCAATCACAAAAAATTGCTAATTTTATTGGACAGGGAATAGTAAAACTGGATTGGGCAAACAAACATTCCATTGCACAAAAGGAATTAGATTATTGGTCAAGATTCCTGTCATCATTCACATAATTTTCCCTCCCTCTCTCTTGTTTTGCCACTTTTCAGAAATCCAAATCACTTCGGCACTTCGACGCTTCGGCACTACCGAACTACCGAACTTCGTCACTTTGGCGCTTCAGAACCTCTGCACTTTGGACATTCGTAAGCATTTGAATGTCCGAATGGCATGAAATTCGTACGAATTTACATTCGTAACGAAACAAATTGCACATGTCTAGTTACCCCCTTGTTTCTCTCCAGGATCATTTTTCTTTTTTACTTATATATTCAGCTTCCAATGTTCTCTTTTTCTAGATTTGTCCTCTTCCTACTGTAAATATCACCATGTCTTATTTTCTAATGTTTTTTTCCATTTGAGATAGATAATATGTTTCAATTATTTAACCCAATCAGATGATATTCAAACAATATATTATAAAGGATCATTCTAAGCACCATAACAACTAGAGTTTGCTTTAATGGTTATGGTGCCAGGAGTGTCAGGAGTCAAATCTTATCAAATGGTTTGATTTTGTAGCTGGGGTCTGCTGGGTGCCGCTTCCTGCCTCCAATACCCTAAGCTGATTGTTCTCAATCAATAAGCTAAGTCCTGCATTGCAGTGCTTAGCTGATATGAGCTAACAGAACTTCATAGGGAGCAGTTCCTGGTGGACCCCAAGTA